CCATCAATCCCATCAATCCCATCAATCCCATCAATCCCATCAATCCCATCAATCCCATCAATCCCATCAATCCCATCAATCCCATCAATCCCATCAATCCCATCAATCCCATCAATCCCATCAATCCCATCAATCCCATCAATCCCATCAATCCCATCAATCCCATCAATCCCATCAATCCCATCAATCTAACCAATCAGCATAATATAGAAGTAAAAGAAGTAAAAGAAGAAGAAAATTGAACAAAAGTTCCATGATGAAGATGCAATGAGCCCAGCCCTCTTTCTTTCTTTCTCTCTTTCTATCTAGCTATCCATCTATCATCCATCAATCAAGAGTGTCTCGGCAAGACTACTACTACCTGCAACTAACTACATATAGGTAGGTAGGTGGTATGACGAACGAGAACTGTGAAGCTGGCTGGCTGCACCCCTGGCAACCAACGTGCATGATTGACGAATCGGGGGGGGGGAGCGCTGCGTGGGCAGTAGTGTGAAGAATTTATTGTTGGGGGGATTGGTCCATCCCGGGGGACGAGTCTCGCCGAGTGGTCTCAAGGACATGTATCGACTGACAATCTGGCAGCAGGTAGAGTGTCGACCAGTGGGAAGAGCAATGACAGAGAGGTGGTGGGGACGGGCGAGAGGAGGATCGAACAGACTCCACACTATAAAGGAGTGAGGCATGGTCACGCGAGCCATACTATGAACATGATAGGACCTAATTCTTGCCAGCGAGATACTCATCAGTATCGCCCCTCACATGAGCTGTGCCGCTACGCTCCTCGATACAGAACTGCTGCGCACAACCACCCGGCAGCAGCGAGGTATTCTCCATGGGCTTACACTTGCAGTGCACACGACCTCGAGAACGTGGGACCCCACTATTCGAACGGAGACTCAACCGTGTGTCACATCTCGAGCGATCGTGACAATTGCAGCAGGTTTCCATCGCGGCATCATCAATGCGGAAGCAGTCTCAACCATCTGGCAGGCCCGGTCATGATGTCGTTCGTCATACTTGTGGTGATGGTGGTGGTGGTGCTAGCTCAGCAATGCGACCCATCCCAGTCTCTCATCCTCGCATGCATCCGTTCCTCGTCACCTGCATTCGTTTCTCGTCCTCAGGTGCATCAATCTCTCATCTTCGACTCAGCAAAGCAGGAAATGCTCTCTGTGACGAAGCCGCCCAGCGCATGCTTCTGGCGACTGCCATCTTTTGGTAGACATCTGCCGCAGCTACGGCACTGCGCCTTGACATGGGTAGAGCCGAGTCCCCCTTTGACACCAATAGCAGCAGTCGCGCTACCCAGTAGGATACATCATCGGTCGGCACCTCTGCCGACATGCACGTATCTTTCAGAAGTCATCGCCCGAGTCCTTGCGCTTTTTCCCCTTTCTCTTGGGCTTGGCATCCTCTGAATCACTGGCAGCCTCTTTCTTGGCTTTCACGGGCGCATCGGGCACCTTTGAAGTCAGCTCTTCCAAAAAGTCCAGCTGCTCGTCCGCTTGTATTGCTCTTTTCAAGTGCTGAGCCAGGACCCGGCGCGGCCCTTTTGTTGTTCCATTTGCAGCTTCGGGCCCCCTCGCTTCGTGTGCAGCGGCGGAGATGAGCTTAATCATGAACAGCTCCAATGCTCGGCTGACGACGGTGGGCGTCACCTGGGCGACTTTGCCAATGTCCTCGTCTGCTTGCATAATGCGCTTGATGCGTGCCACGGGGAAGGATGTCTTGAGCTGGCAGCCCAATGTGGGGTCGCCGTTGACCTCTTTCTTGATGGTGCCTTCGCACTTGATGGGTGCAGGAGCGAGTATGGGCTCGAATTGGCCATTCTGGAATTGGTCGGGCAGCTCCTGTTTGACACGTCTGGATTTCTTGGGCGCAGGCGCATCGGGCATGAATTCGTCATCGTCGTCGTTCGGCTCTGCATAGTTGACTTGCTTTCGGCGCGTCGAGGGTGGCATTGGGGGTGCTGGCTGGTATTGCGGATGATGGTAGGGCGGCGATGTCTGTGGAGCAGAAGTGACTGGTGGATGGTAGTTGGAGAAGTCGTTTGCAGGGTGGCCCACGAGGAGTTGATGTTGTTGTTGGTGTTGGTGGTGGAGATTGTGGAGGAGATTGTGGTGGTACTGTTGTTGTTGTTGTTGGTGGTGGTGGTGTTGTTGCTGATACTGCTGCTGTTGTTGTTGTTGTTGATGTGGGAGTTGGAAGTGTTGTTGATGATGATGCGAAAAGGACGTCGAGGGTGGAATAACGGGAATTTCCCCGACACCTGCATGGAGCTGTGGACTGGTCGGCAGATAGCCGCCGCCGGACGGCTCTGCGATCAGGCCTGCCAGGTCAGGTGACTGCGGCCGGTAAGCCATGGTGACGGTGTTTGTCGAAGGAAGGGAATCCACAATCCGCGCGTCCACTCGACACGCGTCACGCTCAGCCCAGCCGATATTCTCGCGACGCGTTCGTGTTGTAGGTAGCGGTAAGTCCTAAGGTAGGGTAAGTAGGTCTCGTTGTTGTGATGGTTTGCAAACAGCAACCATTCGCGTGCCAATGCCAGCCGCGTGCAGGTGGGTGGGTAAGGTAGGTGGAAGTGGATACCTCAGGTGGGGCCGAGGCGCGGCGAGTGGGATGCAAAGCGCGGCGGGCGGGATGAGAGCAACGCGTAGGCCCAAATGGAAAAAAGAGCCCAACAGCGCACGGAGCGGGGGAGGGTTTTAATATTCTCGACATCTGCCCTGTGCCCCCTTCGCGCCAGGCCCCACTGCGGGACATCCGTGCGTGTCGCTAGTCTACTTCCCGATTAGCGGCCACGCATAAGATGAGCACTTCTGCCTTTTTTTTTTCTTTCTTCCCACACAACCTGGACGACTGGACTCCTGAACACTGTTTCCCCCCAAGCTTGAGGTGGCCTTGTTCTTTCCTTGTAGACTGTCAGCACTTTCCCACCACTTGATGCCCGCTTGCCCACGGGTGTGAAGTCGTTGCTAAAATAACAACATTTCGGAACAACACTTGATCCGTCGTCACACACTCTCTCTCGTGCTTCCGACGTGTCCGTACTGATCCGAGGCTGTCTTGTACAATCATCACCCACGCCACGCCATTGTGAGACGACGAGAGAGAGAGATGGACAGTAAGAGAGCAAGAAAGTCAAACTTCACTCACGCCCGTTGGTACCTTAGGAGGTAGGAACATCTGGCCACATCGAGATGCCTTCAGGTCTCGTGTCATCATCCACGGCGAGCTCTCCTGGAACATCAGCGACAAGAAGCGTTGATCAACCAACTTTCCACTTGCAAACGTGTCCCCATTGTACGCCTATTAAGCATCAGACAGGGAGATGATGCTCGTTTTGATGAACGGGCACTTCCAGTCCCACAGAACAGGAACAGAGGTATATGTATAGTATAATACCTGAGCCTTGGGTTGTTGGTGTTTGTAACTGGAAGGCACTTTTTAGACTTTTCCATATCACATGGCAACAACCAGATCTTGAGTCTTGACAGCTCACCCATCCACCTGCACCATCTATTGACTACAAATCTAAACTACCTCCTACATGTAGGAGGTACCTCCTAACACTGGAGGTATCAACCTAGGTAGGAGGTACAGGTAAGGTAACGTTGCACAAGAAGAGCGTCATCCGTCACTTATGACGTAGAACCGTGTGGGCAGCAGATCATCAAACTACATGTACATGTAAGGTACATGTAGGTATATACATATATATGCCAACCTCAATAAACCTGAACTACCTACCTTACCTACCTTATTGACACAAGCACCTCGAGCACTCACTCCTTCTCCAACCAAAACAAAACAGAAGCACAACCAACCAACCAACAACAAAAAAACCATGCCTATCGGACAATCCAGTACCAACAACACCACCTCTGGAGCCGAAGGAGCCGCCAAAGGTCTAACCTCCACCCTCGGAAATCTCACCGGAGGAGTCGTCAAAACTGCCGGAGGAGCTGTCGGAAGTGTCGGACAAGGTCTCGGTGAGACGATTAATAGTGAGTTTATCTTCTAACACCCCCAAGAAAATAAAAAGAAATAAAATACAAAAAGAGAGAAAAAAAGTCAATGCTAATCTAAAAGGTACTGTAGATACAACTGGTACCAAAGCAGTAGGAAATGGACTTCAAGGTCTGACGGGTGGAGTGAAAGATGGTGCGGATGCTTTGGGAAAGGGAGCGGAGAATGCGGGACAGTGGAAATAGGTAAATAATGTAAATACATGACCTGTCTGTACCTTGGGCAGCACTTGAAACTTGGAAAAGAGAAACTTGGAAAAGAGAAACTTGAAAAAGAGAAAGTTGAGAAAGTTGATACGAGAATGGAAAGTTGTTCTTTTTTTTCCTTTTGGAGAGGCAAAACACGGAAAAGTTTCTGGTTGTTTTGTCGGGTAGGCTGATAATACCCATTGTACCTACCTTACCTTAGGAGGTAGGTAGCTTAGGTACATGTAGGTACTCTCCCATCTTATGGACTCGTAATGACCTCGAAAAAGCAAATGGGGTCAAATGGCATGCATTCTTTTTTCTAATCTCTCCTGTAAATGCCAGCGCCCCACGCAAATCTCAACAGTGCTAATCCAATCGCCATGCCGATACTGTCTTTAATCACATTCAACTTGGACCCCACCACTTCCTTCCACCCAATCGCCACCTCCACCATGGGAATATCAGCGCTTTCGGCCAGCATGAGCATCTCCACATCGAAGATCCAGCCCTCGGAGTGCATATATGGGACAATATAAGGCAGCGCAGGCCGCGAGAAGAGCTTGAAGCCACACTGCGTATCTCTAATCTGCGCCACTTTGGGTGTGGTGAGGAGCCAGATACCAAGATGGAATGCGCGCATGAGGAGGTTGCGAAGTGCCGATCGCTGTGAATTACAGAGTCAGTACGGAGGCCCGGTTCGATACGTAGCCGAAGAAGGAAACGAAACAAAAAAAAACACAGTCTCACCTTCACTACTGCTTCTGTCCCTACCATGTGTGCTCGCGAGCCCACACCGACAGCTCTCCCATTCTTATCCTTTGCCTTCTCGCAAGCACTGACCAACTTTCCAAGATCCGTGAACCTGCTCGCTCCGTCTGCATCTGCAAATACGACATATGTCCCTCTGGCATGTCTCATGCCATGCGTCACAGCTCCTCCTTTGCCCCGATTCTCCTCCAGGCTCACCACCCGGATGGTCCCCGGTCGTATGTTTGTCGGTGTCCCGGTTCCTGACCAGGGCCCTTTGTACGTAGGAGGTGTTGCCAGTTGATGCGTCCTCGCGAAGTTGAGCGCAACATTCACAGTCTTATCCGTACTCCCATCAGAAACTAATATAATCTCCCAACCTCTCCTCGGATCGCCTTGCTGTCCGCTCGCTTGTAGCTTTCCATCACTACTGCTCTTACTCGGAGTTCCGTGGTGGCCGTACTGTTCTTCCAAGTAGCCTACCGCTTCTTCGAGCATCCCATTCAAGCGATGCATCTCATTGTAGGCAGGTATCACGAGCGTCATAAAGACTTCTGCATCGGAAATCTGGAAAGCTTCCTCGCGCGCGATGAGGCCGTTGCGAGCCATTTCTTTGACAGCCATGTGGTTATCGTACCAGCAGGGCAGAGGTTGCGGGGGAGAGATTTGTCCTTCGGCCGTCATGGTGATATATTGCTTCTCGGATTTGGTCGGAGGGCGCGGCGAGGGAGCGAAGAGCCAGACGAGTGCATAGAACTGGAGAAATATCGTGAGCCATGGTGAGCGTGCAGGATGGACAGTATGATGATGATTACCCAGATGATCAGTCCGGCCAGCATCGTAGCCCCAATAGCCATATACCACACCGTCGGCGACCTCTCCATCGCATCCATGCCCTCCCACATCTCCGGTGGTATGGAGTCGGCCGCGTCCATGCTGGGTGGTCGATGGGTAGGACTACCTTCTATGTGGTCTCCCTTAGGCGAAGTCGATACTGGCACGTGTCAAAATGGGCCCGTTGGTGTGTGAAGAGGCTCTGTCCATCATTATTAGAACGACTCCCGACCAGCACCGGCAGCGTTAGTGTCATCAGAGGCCTTGCGCCGTCTCCTCAGGATGCCTGGTGGTGGGTGGGTTTCTTGGGATTATGCCGGAGCTGACAGCTGTACTGAGCGCGGAGAGCTTGCGCTTTGCTTTGCGCGACCAGGATCCATCGTCATAACAGCCTTTCTTGGGTACTTTCTCCGTCCTTTTCTCACTTCCACAACGATTGCTTGTTTTGCACCGACACATCACTACGAGAAGTATCACGCATCTCGCTGGCCTCTGGAGCTGAACAATGGGCTCCAAGACAGCGAGATGGAGATGGCCTGGTGCAGTGGCAGCATGACCCATGGAACGCAGCAATAATACGGTACACGCCACGATTGCCCTCACCTATAAGGTACGGTAGATGTAAGAAACTATTCGGGACAGCAAGGGGCGGTTACCAGCTCTGAGAGCCCCAGTCATCACCTTGGAATATAACTAGGTGTACACATATAGAGGGCTGAACAAGGACTTGCATAGAACTGGACTTCTCAAAAGTATTACATACATTCCAGGTTAAGGGCGATCTCGTTACATCCAATTCATCACTCGTTAATTCATGCCTCCAGGTATATGGACCACTCCCATTCTGTTTCCAAATTCCAGATCAATCCGCCAAAGAAGAAGGCTGGAGGTCGATGCATTACCATCTCATCCATGCTTGCAACCCGGTTGAGCGAAACACCGATAGCATGGTCCATCCACTCCCACATATGCTTTGTAGCATTCCGAATTGATGAACCCCGGAGCTGGGACATTGCCCTTGTTGTAGTTCAAAAACGCGATTCCACAATGCCGAACCACTGAAACGCAAGTGGGGAGACATTCTGGACAAGCAAAAACCTGCGTCAATAGAGTGTAGATGGCAAGTAGGTAAGGTCAAAGGGGAGAAGATAACGAACACTTACTGAAGAAGAAGAGATATGATCCACAGTTTAGACAACCGAGATTATATGCCTGTTCATGATTGCCTCGAACGTCTGCGGCAGTGATCCAACCTGATATTTGACAGACAGAGAGAGTGAGAGAGACAGAGTTAGGCCCATGACAAAAAGACCCTTTTTGTTTCTTTGGAAGCAACAGAAAAATCTCCTCTTAGGTTATGTACTTACCATTATCAAACCCAACATGTAACACCCGAACATATGCTCTCACATGATCATCACATTCATCATCGACTTGCTGCTGCTGTTCTTCAGACTCCTGGAGCTGAGAACCCACATCATCTAAGATATAACGCTTCCAAGTAAGCCTAACCGGACCTATATTCTCCACCCAACGCAGATATAAAAAAAAACAAGAAAGGATAAAACAAAGAAAAAATACTAACCACCACCATTCCCATCCCCAGACCGAATCCGTTGCTCAATCGCATCAGCATGATTTTGTACAACAGGAGCACATCGCCTATCTTGAATCCGATTAACAGGAGGAGAAGTCTGAGCGAGATTCTCAATCTGATTGGGATCTGCCAGTGCCAGGTCCTGTGTATCGAGTTGGGCAGCAGCGAAGGGCTGTTGTCTTCTCGCGAAGAGGAGGAGGAGGACCTGTAGTATGGTAGCGCTGAAGATGAAGGATCGCATCATCATCGTAGGTAGATAGCCGGCTGGGTCGGTGGGGACAAGACGGTTATTTACAACAGGACCTGAGGGAGGTAAGAGGTGAGGTAAGGTAAGGTGGTGGCGTGGCAGTGTGATGATGATGATGGATCGGGGTAAATGTAGCCAGCAGTGCAGTAAAAGAAACAATGGGTGTAAATGAGATAGATAGCTAATGAACCTAGGGTAAAGATTGCCTACCTTAACTAATTATAGAGTATTGCTGGTTGGCTGGCTGACGGTCTGGCTGTTTATAGTGAGGTCTAGTCGAACGTGCAGAAAGAGCTGTTTGCTCGTAATGTGTTGCCCGAGGGTGGTGATGCATCATGCCACTATATACTCACCCAGTCCTTGTCCGCAAACGATACCTATCGCCGCCACAAAGGCGAATCATCATTCATGAAGATAGTTCTCTTCCGAGTCATCATCGGCGTAGAGGAGAGCAAGCAAGCAAGCAAGCAAGCAGGTCCAATCCTAGCGTCTCGTCAGAGATAATAACAGTTCGCCAAGGGTCATCATTCCCGGTGCAGGGATGAAGACCTGGAGAAACTGTACATATTTTAAGCTTCTGTTTGACACCGATCACGAAGAGGTCCAGACCACGATCCGGGGAAGGTAGCAGGCTAGCAGCTGATACGCATTGCTAGACCACCTCATGTTGTTTTCCCGTTTCCCCGTCATGCTCTCGAGACTCGAGGTGAGCTGTAGCTGAAGGTATCAATTACTGTAAACGACACAACCAATGCATGCCACAACGTGTGTTGGTTGATCTCTAAGCTCATCAAGTATACATTCCTAATATCCAAATCTCCAGCTTGCAGACCTCATCCGTGGTATCTCAGACACGCAGCCGCTGTGCCTCTCACGAATGCCTGCACTTCTGACCCGATCCCATATCCTGTCGACCTATGCATCTTGCGTCGTCCACAAATCCAAGCAAAGTCGTGTCTCATCACAATGAAAGATTTTTTCCCTCACAGATTCTCCTCGTCCTCTGGCCTCATCTGCAGACCTCCGGTAACTTGGATTCCCCTTTGTACCCATTCTAGCTTCTCCACGTCCTCTAACGACTTGCGGCCCATGCGCACTTTCTTTAGCAGAGCCTCAACAACCAGGTTCGCGCCTTCCAGGTCTTTGCCACGCGTTGCATCCCAATCGCCGTCTTCGTCCCCAAATCGACACCAGATCCAGTCACAGCGTGCTATGCGATGAGTATTCCGGCTGCGGTCCGGCTTTCCAGGAGGTGCGTCAAAGGGTAGGCGGCCTTCCAGAAGTGCGTAAAGCAGCACTCCAAGCGCCCAGCCATCGGTCAGACGCCCATCGTAGGGCTGCCCAAGCAGAATTTCGGGCGCAGCGTAATCTTCACTGCCGCATCGGGTGCTCAGTAGCGGCGACTCTGGCGGCTGAGGTATGCGCCTGCTCAGTCCCAGGTCAGTCAGCGTCACAAGCGGCGCAGGATGCGTTAGCGGGTTCTCCACGGGTTCAATATCGGCAGGTGGTAGGTTGACGAGCACGTTCTCCAGCTTGATATCTCTGTGCACGATCCAATTCTCATGCAAATACCGGACGGCGCTAACCAGCTCCGCGAACATCCTCTGTATCAGGCGCGGTGTCAGTAGCGCGCGTTGTTCATTGGCGAAATCAAAGAGGTCTCCCCCTGGACAATAGTTAATCACCAGTAATGCGCGGGTTGGCTGGTATTCGCAAGCCTTGAGATGGACCAGCGAAGGGTGAGAGACGATCTTCAGCATTTCCACTTCGCGTTTTAAGCTTGTTTCGATTCGTTCTTCATCGGCGCCACCTGCAGGCCCGTGCTCGACTATCTTGACAGCTACCAGCTTGGCGGGATCGAGATGGTCCTCTATTTCAGGAGTCGGGTGAGCTGGAATCTTTTCCCGTGTGGCTAACATGACGGTAGAGAACGTCCCTGTGCCGAGCGCGCGGAGCTGTCTGAATTTCCGTCTCTTGTTGTGTATGCCGCAATGTATCTCTAGGTATTCCGATACGGTACCGTCTTCGAGATGTGGTCGTTCCTCTTCCGCGTCATCACTTTCAGTGATGCTTGCGTTGCTGGGTGGAGGCGTCGGAAGCGGTTTGCCAGACGTGGCAGGAGCAGGGGTCAGGCCTCGTTGCTCCGCCAAATATGCCTCGCGATGAATGTGATATTCTCCGGTCTCCAGGCCGGATACCTCACCCTCCCCCACAGTCACATGCCGCGGCCGTGTGTTGTGTAGCGCTTCTGGCTTGAATTCCGAAAGACTTCGGTTTCTGTTGTGACTGTCCGTTCTCAGCTGCTCCTGGCCAGTCGCCATCGCCGCATTGGCCACTGCGGCTTCTTGCATGAGACTCCCATATCCTTTCTTCTTTTTTGACGGTGACTCGGGCGATATAGGAGGCAAATATGATCTATTGCTGGGCATGCCATCGGTCAGTGATCCTTCTCTTGATCGGCTAGCAATGCTAGCCTGTCTCTTCGGCCACACCAGAGGCATCTCGGTTCCCGGTAGCGGTAGTGGTGACGGTAGAGGAGTCAGGTCGGTCATTGCTGCAGTGAGATACGGAGAGGGCAGTGCCGAGATTGACCCTGGAGAGTAGGAGGAGGCCAGACTAGTGGTCGACATGTTGGATCGCAGCGAAGAACTTATGGTAGGCAGACTGGACGGCGAGGTGAGATTGAGTTTGAGCGCGGCCTCGGGCTCGTACTGAATAGTGGGGGTGTCCATGTCGCTCCACGCGTCTGCTCCAGCAGTTGCGGATGTTTCGAGTCTGTTGGTCCTCAGCGATAGAGCGGAGGACATGCGCTGGTGGTGGTGATGATGTTGCGCGCTCGAATGCGGAGCAATTGTCGTGTCTAGAGGAGGAAGCACAGAGGCATTTGCGGCATGTGCTGCCTGGTTATGGTTTTCAGTGGAGGCTGATCCTGGAGCGGCAACTTTGCTGCTGGTGTTACCGCTGCTCATGCTGCTGCTGCCGCTGCTGCTGTAATAATGCTGCCGTGGCTGATTAGCGGGCGAGGAGTTGGCGTTGGCGTTAGCATCGTCGAGTCCGCGAGTGGGAAGTGAAGCCATGGTTGAGCGACCACATGGGTAGACGCTCCTGGGGGGAGCCTCACTGCTTCAGGTGAGGATACCTTTGGACTGTGGTCCTGTGCTCGACCCGCGTCCGCCTGTCAGCAGCCGCAGAGAGCCAGGGAGGGCTGTTATTGGCGGTAGGGAGGAGGAAGAGAGTGGAAGACGACGTTACTGACTTTGGAGCGGCGGGAGCGGGAGCGGAGCCTAGGGGAGCTCACGGCCAGGATGTGACTATGTGACTAGTGTGCAATTCCATGTGCATTGGTGCTGTGTGGTGCCAGGCTGCTGGGACGGCCCCGAGAAAAGATGTGCTGATGCTCGATAGGGGCAAGCGTGATCTGCCGCGGTCTCACGACACGTCCTGGACCCGTCTCTCGACAATATATTGTTGAATGTGGGAGTATAATAATGTGCCAAGGATGCATGGCACTGCGGCACTAGGAGGTACCTATTGTCCTGTTCACTTGTTCGGTGGCAAATCTCAGCTTGGTGGCGAATGTGCCGGCACCTGCGCAGTAAAGGAACAACAAGGTGCTGCGGAAGACCGCGGAGAGCCAGCAACAAAGAATCCAGCATCTGAGATCTACTCACTTGCATCAGCAGACCTGCATGCATCCATCCGTATGAGGTAGGGGTGACTCCTGTCGGGTCCGAGCTTGTTGCATCGTATATATTGGAAGCGAGAAATGCGTAGATGTATCGTCCCGGGAAATCGTTCGCCACCTGATGCTATTCGACGCAGCGTTGATGTGGGCTGTGGTCTTCTGGTAAAGTTCATACAGGAATTTCATCGACTCCCATCGCGGGTTGCTTGCAGTGGGGAGCTGCTCGTTGACGTCGTGATGGAGGAATAGAAGAGCATATACTGCTGCAGAAGTCGCAAATGCGGCCACCCCTTTCCGTTGGTCTCCGAAGGAGATCATGTCACAAAGGAGAGCAAACGGCGACAAACAACAGTCACAGGCCTCCCGCGCCGAAAGAAACACAATTTACGCACACGGAGCTGCGCTACATTCAAGTAGTAGTCCATCATCAGCAGTAATAGCATAGCTAGGTACATGAATGATCGCAGCACAGGCATCCAGAAGTGAAGACGGTATGTGAGGGCCTTGTGTTTGACTGTCCGGACTATCTAATCCCTATATACTGACCAAGTGCCTTCACAGTGTTCATGTCCATAGATGGCGTCAACTAGGTTGTCTACTGAACCTCCATCCTGTGGAGCGAGCGCATATCTGAGCTTGAGCGGTCCCCACACCACCCGAATGGCTAACCACTGCGCAATTTACCAACTACAACATTATAATACATTGATGTTCAATGCTCCGGCTGATAATCAAGTCCATTCACTTAGTATTAACGTGATTGACTCACTTACGACTTAATTCACTTACAGGCAACCTGAGTAATTGTTAATTCAAAAATCGACTCAATTCACTTACAGTCAATTTGATCTACAGCAAACATCGCCAAACTCCTCACTATCATCGAACCCAGCAGTGGAGACCCCGAAGAACACCGCAGGCCAGAGCTCGTCGTCAAGCACACTCCTACCGAAAATGCCGCAAACACTCCAAGAAAAGATCGTCAGTCGTATGGAGCAGGAGAACTTTGCTCGTCGACAGAACCGTCGTGCCAAATTCGGGGCGGAGATGACGGCACTCCAGGTTTATTTTCAAACTGAGCAGGACAAGCTCCACGTTCAGTACGTAGCTCAAGCAGAAAAGGTGGACCAAGATTATCACGCGGACATGATCACAATTTGGACAGCCCAGCAGAAATGCGTGGAAGAGATCAAGGAAGAGTTTTCCCGAGATCCTGACGCAGCCCACGCGAAATACGGGCCGAAACCAGCGGAGCCACCAGCGGCGAACACGCGCACGCAGTATCTGCGCGTGCATGGTGCTGTTCACCCAACACCAGCATTGCCAACAAACACTGTGGAGGGCAACAGGGTACAGCCACACGTCCCCTTCGGAGGCGTTCCATCTCAGGATGCTCGTGGCAACAAGCGATCAGCCTCGGTGTGGGTGACTCCCTCGCCGCGTCCCATTCTACCAAACCCACCAGGACGTCTGCCACTGTCTGCGCCACAGACTCGATCTCCCGCTGGCCAGCCTCAGCAAGAGCCCGTCGGTAGTGGCGGTCCAGTGGACATCCCGCTTGCCGCGACGTCAGGAGGCGCGCTCCTGGAACAGACGCCGACCAGACCCGGCGGTAGCAAGCGACGCAAGATGACAAGTGAAGGCGAACTTTGCGAAGATGGAGAGGATGGAGAAGATGGAGAAGACGGAGAAGATGGAGAAGATGGAGAAGATGGAGAAGATGGAGAAGACAGAGAACACAGAGAAGACTTGGACAAGGTAAGCTCGAACGGGTCGAGAGATGTCAGACCACGACTTGGTCCAGAACACCTTGTTGACTTGACTTCGGAGGGTTCGTGCTCATAATCATCGGTGGAAACGATGGACATGCTGTGAGCTCGTGGCGAGGCGAAGCGAGCCCGCGCCTAGGAGGTAAGGAGTGTGTACTTAGCTGTAGACAAGCAGATATCCGAGCCATTGCTGCTGCTGCTTCACACGTACGTACCTAAGTATAGGCCCTAATACCTGAGAAACCTTGGACGCAGCCTGTAGAAATAATGCGAGAGCAGAAGGTATTTGTGTGTGAGGTGTGACTTATCAACCCTTCACTTCTACAAGCAAGTCTCACGTCTGTAGGCTACTGTCGTTTGAGCCATACCAGATATCTCCAATCCACTACCTCCAGGACATTGTAGGGAAATCAGACATAGTCCGCATAGCCAAGATGAGAGTAGAGAGCGTGCTCGAAGGTTCTTAACTCATGAGTACATGTATGTTCGGTACGGTATGCAATCTATATGTCTGGTATGTAGAAGTGCCACATCGTCCCCGGCTAGCAGTTGCCGGTGGAAAAGCATACCAAGACATATGCCAAGCGCGCTAGTGCAGATCCCTGGACATCTCCAGCATTTGAGAAGTGAGGGGAGCCTCGAATATTTTTTCTTGGTAGCAAAACATCCGTAGATCTTCATCCCAACAACAACAACGACCAACGACAACATATATCGTTGCGTATCTTGATACAGCGACACCGCCAAAAAGGAAAAAAAAAGACTTCACACTACACGCACTATGATCAGCCCGAGCTCGGTTATCGATGACGACGGATCACGCACGATATCAAGAAATAAAGTCCAGTAGCACGTAAGAAGACATTACTCGCAGCAGGCCGGCGGAAGGTTGCGGTGCAACTATCACAGCGTTGAACCCTGCATCCCACTGAAGGGGTGGTACACAACACACAAAGTATAACACCGATCTTCCGTTGCAAATGTCTTTCCAAGTTGCGGTCTGTCGGGCGGTCCGAGTCTGTCATTTGCTGCCTCCGTACGTTGGAAGAAAAGCTTACGGGGATCTTTTTTCACAAGATGCGAATGATAGCATTCAAAGCAACTTTAAAGCCTTCTCCCCTGATCAGGCTTTCCATGCTTGATTTCAAACTTGGCGCGTGTGAAGAAAAAGAAGAAGCAGTAGAAGAAGCAGTAGAAGCACAAGAAGACACTTGGGATCCCAGGACAAGTGTGGTATTACTTTTATTAGTTAAACCTGCGCTGTTTGCTCTTTTCGGATTCTCTTTTCTTTCTTCCTGGTGCACTCCTTCAACATTGCCACCATATCAATCCACAAATCATGTCGCTTCATCATAGTCGAAGCATCGGAAAGATGGAGAAAGAAGATGTCTCCGCGATCGATTACAAGGAATCTTCCTCTCCTCATCCTACAGAGACGCAAGATCTACCGACTCCTAGAGCCATCAAAGGCTTGTCAGACGGCCAAGTACGATGGCTCAGCGAAGTCAGTCCCAAGGAAGCCGATCGCATCTATCACAAAGTCGACAAGCGACTGGTGCCGATGCTGGCGTTGCTCTACTTGATTGCACATCTCGACAGGGTGAGTAGTGAGAGGGAGAGCCATGTCTCTTATGTTTTCCTTCAAGCAAAGCGAGCAATCACACTAATCTTCATTGTCTGTAGGCAAACATCGGCAACGCGAAAATCGAGTAAGCTACCTCTTACCTTGGTACATGTATGTATGTATGCAAAGCCGCTAATACTCTCTTGAAATAGAGGTCTCGAAAAAAGTCTGGGAATGACGGGCAGTGACTACAATGTCGCATTGGTCATCTTCTTCATCCCATATGTACGTCGAGCTGCACTTTATTCCACCTACCTATCTAGCACTGATGGACTGGAGATGAGAATTCATCTCTTGCAACACAACAAGACAAAACTAATCAGCAAAACAGATTCTTTGCGAAGTGCCCAGCAACATTCTACTCGCCAAGTTCAAACGTCCGAGCGTGTATATTGGTATACTGGTAATATGCTGGGGTATTGTAAGTTGATAATTTGTTTTCCCTTTGTCTTCCTCCTCTGGAGGCCATATTCACTCCACTTCACTTCTAGTTGCTGACTCTTCTCTCTTTCTCGTGCGTGCGCGCAGATTATGACATTATCAGGTGTAACGAAATCCTTCGCCGGACTACTCGCATCACGATTCTTCATCGGAGTCTTTGGTAAGTGGTACCTATGTATGTACATGACCTTCGGTACTTCCCACTGACCTCTTAAACAACCAGAATCCGGATTTTTCCCTGGTGCAATGTGGCTGGTGAGCGAATGGTATCCTCCACGAAAGACACAAACTCGCATGGCCATGTACGTTGCCTCTTCTTTTCTTTTCCTTTCCTTCCCCAGGCGAGATGGGTGGGAATATGGCTTTGTGGATGTTGTCACCCCCCTATTGCCCCCTTACTGATCGCAAAGCAGGTTTTATCTCGCATCAGCAGCTTCGGGGGCGTTCAGTGGTCTCCTCGCCGCAGGTATCGCCCAAATGAATGGCATCGGGGGTTACGAGGGGTGGAGATGGAGTAAGTGTCGTCGTCGTACAGAGAGACAGAGAAAGCAAATATCTGACTAATCTCTCAATAAACAGTATTCATCCTCGAAGGACTATTCTCCGTCCTCGTCGGAATCTCATGCTTCTTTCTCCTCCCCAACTCCCCAGCCAGCTCCAAATGGCTCAACGCGGATGAGATCAAATTCCTCCAACTCAGCCACATCGCCTTTCGTGGCGTGAAGGCCGTCGACACCGATTCCAACGGGGAGAAGAAACCCAAGAAAATGATCAACTGGCCGATCTTGAAACAAGTTCTGACAGACTGGCAACTCTACCTCCAAAGCATCGTCTTCTGGGCCAACACTGTCCCCAGCTACGGGTTGAAATTCACCATGCCTACCATTATCCGCAACATGGGCTTCAAAAGCACTGAAGCACAGCTTCTCACTGCACCTCCATATGCGTTTGGAGCGATTGCTTCAGTGACTGCAGCTCTCCTCGCCGACAGGCTCTACTGGAGAATGCCATTTATTGTCGGCAGTCTGACAATAGTGGTGGTGGCATTTTCGGTCCTGTTTTCCTTTGCGGCAGAAATCAAGACGCATGTCGCCCTCTGCTATACCATGGTCTGTCTCGTGTGTGTGGGACTCTATCCGATCATTCCCGGCAATAACTCTTGGACGGTGAATAATCTGGCTGGGGCGGAGAAGAGATCGGCGGGCATCGCATTCATGATTGCGGTCGGGAATACAGGTGGCATTGCTGGGAGCTTTATTTATCTCGAACGGGAGAGTCCACGGTATCCCACAGGTTTCGGCAGTTCATTGGGCTTCGCTGCCGCGGGAATCGTGGCTGCGCTCGTGTTGGAGGCGCTGTATTGGCAACACAACAAGCGATATGAACATTTGACGGAGGAAGAGGCCATTGCACAGTATGGAGAGAAGGAATTGGAGCTGATGGGAAACAAGAGCCCTCTGTTCAAGTATTCGCTCTGAGTGGAGCTGGTCTCCAGGCAGCTCGGCATTTGAGTATGGACGGCCTTCAGTTGATATCAATGCTATCAATCCCAATATCAGCTTCAATACCATGATTCAACACACTGCTGATTTCGCTCGGCGTAGCGTAGCGGGGAGCGAGAAGCGAAAAGCGTGACGCAGGTGAGTGAATTGTGGCACACTGTGGCTCGGAGTGGACACTGAGCCCGCAGATGATTAGGACAATGAAGATAATGAAGATGTTGAAGATGATGATAATAATAATGATGATGAAGACGATAATGATGAAGACGATAATGATGAAGACGATAATGATGAAGACGATAATGATGAAGATGAAGATGAAGATGAAGATGAAGATGAAGATGAAGATGAAGATGAAGATGAAGATGAAGATGAAGATGATGAATATGAATATAAATATAAATCAGGTATGAGCAAGATGAAGTTGAAGATGCTGATATCAGGTGACCAAGGCAGATGGAGTGGTACTGTAAAAGAACCTGGAAAGAACAGAGCAAGGTTCGCGTCACCGTCAATTTCCGTCGCGTCGTCGCGTCGTCGTTTCCGTCTGGCTACCTGTCCCGGTCCCGCCCCCGGTCCATCGATGAATTGATGATTGATCACATTTTACTTCCGTTTCGACCTTCACTTCACCATGTCCCCACGCTCCCTTTGATTTGCGCTTCTTTCACGCTGGCAACACTCCTTTCCTCTTCCGCTTGAGCAGCACGCAACCGGTCTCATCTCCGAATCCGCCAGACGCTTCGCATTCTCCTCCCTCGAACCCAGCCACCAACCATCATGTTCCTCGACGACATCCCAGAGCTCCACGCCCATGTTTGGGTAGACGAGGAGCAGCTTGCTGAGTATGACGACGAAGACACGTTCCCCAGCAAGACGAAGAAGTCGAAATACATCGAAGCGGTGGCAGGATCGACCTTCTCCGTGAGAGTCACTACGAGCCTGGCTATGGCGCGCGATCCCAGGGATTGTCTGGCTGTCCACGTATACCTGGACGGAAAGCATGTTCAAGGCAGGATCATTCGTACTGGCGATCGGCACGCCTATCAGACAGTCAAACTCATTGGGCCCGAGACAACTACTAAGCAGGGTACCACTGTCCAAAAAATGCAATTTGCGCAGCTTCGGACCAGTGAGTGTTGTGCCGCCTATAGCATCCAATTGACGCTGATTATCTCTAGCTGATGCTCCTGTCGGGACTCAGATAGCCGAAGACCTCAAGCAACTCGGCGATGTAAAGATTGCATGCTGGTGGGTCCGCCATGCTGGGTTATCGCGGGACGGGCACAACTCCAAGTTCAAATCCGCAATCGACTCGGGTGTCCCCGAGAAGTGCTTGAAAGGCCGTGCGATATCTACTTATGCTACGTGAGCCTTCGTCCCTGGCAATGGTGATGCTCGAGCTAACCACGAGCAGGTTAGGGCCTGCAGAGCACGTCCATGAACCGGTCAAGTACTGGGAAACCACTCGCCCTTACGGCGAAGACCCCATCGCCGTTTTCATCTTCAAATACCGGTCGCGCAGTAAGGTGTATCTTCAAATTATTTACAACCTCATGGCTGACTTCCATACAGGAGATCTTCAAATCGAAGGCGTGATTCCACGCAGCCCTTCCCCTGTCCCACTGGAGGAACGAGATCCGGATGATCTTTCTCCAGAAGAAGCACGAGAGCTCGTTCGACGACATCGACAACGCGAGCAAGAGCGGATCAAGATCAAAAAAGAAGCCCAAGAGAAGCGAGCACGCTCTGATGCCTTCGACGGCGACAGCGATGTTGAGGAGCTCTCCGTCACCGGCGAAGGCTCCGCGAGGAAGCGCCATCGCACGTCGACTGACTCTGGCGTCGAGATAGTCGACCTCACAGAAGACTAGACGCCTTGGCTTGCGCTGCGATTCTGCTTTTCATGTTTGAATTTTGCAAGTATAAGATACCCAGGAGTGCTTTCATTCCGCGGCATGTGCATGGGCTCTTTGGAGATGAAGAGAGAAAGCCCGAAGACATCGGGAGCAGTGGTCTGTGTTGCGCAGCAGCTCAGTGTCAGTTGGTAGAGTGATGTGGGCATTACCGGAGAGCATCAGTAGGATAAACTTTACAAGCTGCTGAGTTCACCTTTGGTGTATGCATGTCATCAATACAGCTCTATTGGTCTAGGTAATCGTCGTTTATCCTGTGGTTTCTGCATCCCATCACTTAAAAGCCGTGGAAGAACAGCCTCTTCTCAATAGGCTCCTCGCTTCTTGCTGCCAGACCTTCTCTCGCACCTTCCGCAGGAGTACCAAAAACCAACTGGGCCTTCAGAGACCAATCCAGCGGAATATTAAATGCCTCGGCGGCTTTTTGATCGGGCAATGGGTTGTAGTGCTGCAGGTTGCAGCCCAGTCCTTCAGCTTCCAGGGCCGTCCACAGCTCGTACTGGTGCATAGCAGTCGTGTGCTCGGACCATTGAGGGAACTTGTCGGCGTAGATGGCGTATTTGGACTGCAGAGCCTTGATGGGCTCGGGGTCTTCGTAGAAAAGGATCTATTTTGGGAGAAAAACAAAAGAGAGAGGTGGTTAGTAAAATGAGTATATACTAGGTAGACCATTGGTGATATGGTAATAGAGACTCGGGTAAAAATTATGTGACAGCTTACAGTTCCGTAGGCATTCTGGAAACCTTTGAGCCTGCTTGCGGTGTGCTCCCATTGTTCGCTTGGGACAACTGCCTTCAGGATGTTCTCGACAATGCCCCAGAATTCATCGTGCTTCTCTTTGACCAGTACGACGAGACGAGCAGATTGCGAGTTGAAGCTCGACGGCACATCCTTAATGGCTTGTGTGGCAATCTCCTTGATCCTGTCGTCGGAGATGGTGGACTGCTTGGTGAGTTGGTAGATGGTCCGGCGGTGCTTGACGGCCTCGCTGAAGGTGAGCTTGCTGGCCATGGTTGCTGTGGAGGTGGTGCTGCTGTATTGTCTTGAAGAGGAAGGTGGAGGAGTGTACTGGATAGAAGAAGGTGATGATGGGACGGCGGCAGCGGAAGAGGAAGCCTTTTGTACGCGAGAAGCGAAGCTGATGGTATTAGTCTGCGAGAAGAACGATACTGGCGCAAGCCTGGTGAGGAGTGGGGCAGCACGATGCATTGCGTCTTCGCCGTGCGGATCGAGAATCAATAGATACGCTATGAGCCCGGCCAGCAGCGCGAGCACGGCGCCAAGGGATTTGGCAGCGCGATCCCGCATGCTTCCTGTGATTTATGATGCCATCGTCTTCGAACATGGCCACAAACGACGCGAGGTTCAAGTGTTTGGTGGTGGAGCTCTGCCAAATGCTGACATGATCCACCTTTTGCTGTTATTCAGCACAAGCGGGCTGTAATCCGCACTGGCCCTAACCATAAATAGAGTACCGGATCGGCCCTGGCCAGTGGCTTCGCGCGAATTCGGAGGTCTTGGCGCAACTTGATACACGACCTTTGACGACTTAGAGCTCAGATCTCAGCTACATGAGGTGTATTCAGGTAATTCTATATATCGTGTTGTTGGTACCTCCTTCCTCTTGGGTATATAATCAGCTGGGTGGTGATAGATCAGCGTAGACCCCAGGGTCACGTGTCCCACGCGGCCCGCAGCCGGTCAACTGAAAGTTGACCTTCAAGTCTTTCAGTTTGTACCTGTAGGTACCTGTAGTTATCAACACCATAGCCTGCACTTCACCAGACATCGACCAGATGGCCGACCCGTTCGAAGTGCGCATGCGCTTCACATCTCAACTCCAACACCTCTCCGCGTCGTCCTCGTCGGCCACCAAAGCGGCCAACTACGCGTTGCGACACAGCGAATACGCCGACGATCTGCACTCGTGCATCCTCGAACAGCTCGAGCGTAACAACATGAACCTTCGCGCCAACATCATGTACTTCCTCCCGGCTCTGTGCGATGCCGCGAAACATGGACTGGCGAATGGCGGGCTTGCAACAGAGGCAGGCGTGTATGTGAGAATGGTGGAGCGGGACATACTCCGTATCATTGACCTCGTGGCACCCGACGATGGCAGCGGCGCGGCCAATGTGAAAGTGGTGAGGAAGGTACTGCAGGCGCTGATGGGCAGAGGCGTCCTCCAGAGTCAAACCGTGCGCGAGCTTGAAGAGATGATGCAAGGGAGGGACAACCTTCCAGGCGCATCCAGTCCGGTTCATGAGAGCCAGCAGTCTCTACATCAGCATATGCCGCAAGGCCAGGCGCCAGTCAGGAGCACGCCTCAGAGCACGGCACATCCTAGTTTTGGGCACCATGGAGTACGACTAGACAAGAGGCAGATTGAGCAGCGGATAGAGGAAGATCGAGAGCGGCATAAGAGGGCGCGAGAGAATATATGGGCGGTGCCGCAGCAGCGAGGCGGTGATATGGCGACAGACAAGGAGTTTGAGAATGTATGGGACAGCGGGAGCGATGTGGACAGCGATGACTATCGAATGGCTGAGGAAGAGGCGGACGAAAGGAGGAGGCATTTGGAGTACGACGATTATTGAACATGAAGCGGCATCGTGTCGTGACTACTACGAAAGCTCAGCTCTCTTACTGGATGCACTTTAGCGAGGCGCTGGACGTTGCTGGGACTGCACAAGGCTGGAGTCGCTGCGGTATGCGTTTATTTTGCTATATGAAGCTATTTTGGTAGCGCCGCTACTCTCTGCCTGGACGCCACGTCGGAGGCCTTGACCTTCTTTTACGTGTACATGGACATCCACACCCATTGATGCACTGATGATAGAGAAATACCACTCGTGGTCTGCGCAGTCATCTGATCTCTGCCACGCTGGATCGCGAGATTAAGGTGGGTTGACGTGAAGCGCAGATCTTTGGAACCTTCATGTCTCTATGTCGATCTTCTGGCTGCACCGCAACGGGACTCGGAATAGACGAGCTAATATGCTGTGCGGAACGCGGAGCGCGGGGACATATCACAATATGGATGTATAGCGGCTGTGTGGTGAGAGATGGCGTTGCGGGTGAAGCCTACTCGCAAGAGAAGAGAGAGAGAGAGGAAGTGGAATCGATGCCTCGCTCTGACTGGTCAATCATCGACGGACCTCGCTCCTTTGCGATCGATCTCGTGGTGGCGAGCTCGCTACCGTCTAACTGCATTGGCTATAGCGTGGCGAGATGTGTGATGCCAACATGACGTTTCCGGACAACGCGTGTCAGACACGTCCGTGAGAAGTGGAAGTGTCAGGTACGGCAGATACCCGTGACATGTACTGGAGATGCATCTCACGCAATGAGCCAATGGGGGAAATATCATCACCGATGGCGTGTCTGGTTTGAGCCAGTCATGACCGCTACAGTAAGCCGACCAGCGTCATTCATCGATGGCCTCCGCCGCAGCGCAGCATTACAAAAGCAAGCCAACCGAGCTGCTGCTTATCGCCACCCACATCTTTATCGCTTACCGAGTCCCCTTGTTGTGCGTGCACAGGACAGGCAGATTGACGTAACGACACACGGGAACATATATCACCCACAAGCCACCCTCCCCTTCCAACATGCTCGCAACTTCACTTCACGACACCAACATGGCTCCATCAGCAACCAACGGAGGCCCCGACGGCCGTCTCACTGGTGATATCCACCGCGACTACAACGATGACCGCAACGCTTCATCAGAGGATACCCTGTACTGCACGAGCAATGGCGTACCCATTGCACACCCATACGAAACCCAGCGGGTCGGCGAGAACGGGCCCCTTCTTCTGCAAGACTTCCACTTGATCGACCTGCTGTCCCACTTTGACCGCGAGCGCATTCCTGAGCGCGTGGTGCATGCCAAGGGCGGCGGTGCTCATGGCTACTATCAGACTACCGACCCTATGGAGGACCTTTGTGAGGCGGATCTGTTCAAGGCCGGCAAGAAGTGCCCCGTCACGGTCCGCTTTTCCACCGTCGGAGGCGAGTCCGGATCACACGACTGTGCTCGTGACCCCAGAGGATTCTCTGTAAAGTTCCGTACTGAGGAAGGCAACTGGGACATGGTGGCAAACAACACCCCAGTTTTCTTCCTGCGCGACCCTGCCAAGTTCCCACACTTTATTCACACCCAGAAGCGTGATCCTTCGACCCACTTGACACATGCCGACGACTCGACCATGTTTTGGGATTATTTGTCCCAAAACCCCGAGTCCATCCACCAAGTTATGATCCTTATGGGCGATCGAGGTATCCCAGATGGGTGGCGGAAGATGCACGGTTATGCTGGACATACCCTCAAGCTCGTCAACAAGAAGGGCGATTGGGTGTATGGTCAAATGCACATGAAGAGCAAGCAAGGCACCGGCTTCATCACACAAGCCGATTCTGCCAACTACTCTCCGGACTACGCGCAGAAGGATTTATACGATGCTATCGAAAAGGGCGATTACCCCGGTTGGGATGTTTGCTGGCAGACGATGACTCCCAAGCAGGCCGAGGACCTGTGGGAGAACGAGAAGATTAACATTTTCGATCTGACCCACGTGTGGCCACATGACAAGTTCCCGCTCCGCAAGGTCGGCGAGTTTCATCTGAATGAAAACGTCAAGAACTACTTTGCAGAGATTGAGCAGATTGCATTCAACCCAGCACACTTGCCTCCTGGAATCGAGCCGAGTGCCGACCCGGTATTGCAATCCCGCCTGTTCTCATACCCAGACACACACCGTCACCGCATTGGCGTCAACTACCAGCAACTACCGGTCAACGCGCCGCGCGTCCCATACAGGATCGCCAATTTCCAGCGCGACGGTAACATGGCATTCTACAATCAAGGTGCACGACCGGCCTACTTGAGCTCCATTCAGCCAGTGGCGTTCCGTGAGCGTACCGTTGATCTCGACAAGACCCATGGTCACTTCACAGGCAATGCAGTCACTTTCCTCTCGGAGATCCGACCAGAGGATTTCAACGCGCCTCGTGCACTTTGGCAGAAGGTCTTTGACGAGGATGCCAAGGCCCGCTTTGTCGAGAACGTCTCTGGCCACATGGGAAATTGCCACAAGGAAGAGATCATCAAGCGCCAGCTTGCAATTTTCCGCGAAGTGTCGCCCGATCTTGCCGAGCGCCTCGAGAAGGCAACTGGTGTCAAGGGTTATGAGGGTATTGCTGGTCTCACTTTCAACGGCACACACAACGGTATGGCGAACTCATCGAAGAACAGAGCTGCCAATGGCATGTCGGACAAGACCGTGTCCCTTGCAAACAATGGCGGTCCCACAGCCGGTACTCACCAGAAGATTACCGCTTAGATATGTGTCTGTATCTCTCGGGGAGTGTGTGTTTGTTATGACTTGATGAGATTATGAGCGATTTTCATGTAACTTATTCGTTTTGAAAACAGCATTTTGTATGTACATACCAAAAATGGATCTCAATTCCAGAATCTTTACAACTGAACAGTCTTAACTTTTATTATGTTTTTCTTTCCTTTCCTTCCAGGTTTCCGTTTTCCTTCTTTTTTCTGAACATTCCCCCTCGCGTGTCTTACGCGACTCCACTAAGGTAACTCGGCGCGTCGCGTAGGGACAAAGTGCCAAGCTTCCATTTCTGCTTCCATCCTCATCCCCATCCTCATCCTCCTCGGGAGAACATCCCATCCCGCCTCATACCAACCGGAACACTTCACCTTCATACCACCACGCCCGATAGGAAGACTCGGCGTGGGAGTGCATCCTGAAGGTAGTGAGGCCATGCTGTCAACTGCATCACTCGAACACGAGCCAATGTGCATCCAGCTGGCTAAATATGACTGACCTGTACGCGTGACATATCAAGCGACGTCCAGCATCAAGACCGGTCTGCGTTCCAATATTAGCCGTAGGTATGGAAATTTGTGCAGTCGGCACAGATCTGTTGTCGAGGCTTGGATTCCTGGTCAGACCCTACAACCGTACAGGCATATGGAGATTTCCGACCGCCATGCTCGGTACAATCGACGCCGATCAATGCCATGACCAGCTGCCTCCAGCAGCATCGATACTGACGTGATTAGGCTGGCCACGAAGTTGAGAGTATAAAATATCTACGTTGATAGTGAAAGATCTCGCTGGACAGTCCAGCTTGGACGGGCGCATACTCTTTACGCTGTGCTCTTCTGGCTGTAAGCACCGAATGACCTCCTTCTGATATCATCACAATACAAGACGCTCCATTCGGATATCAGCATGTCTCCCGTGCGGATCACACGAATATTATTCGAACATCATCCTGACGGCTTCGGGATTGGCCATGCCAAACCACGATTATCATGGCGCTTCTCTTCAGAAGGTGCGGATTTCAAAGACTGGTCCCAGGAATCTTACGAGATCAAAATTGGCGCGTCCAAGGACGATATTGGTCAAATATACAGCATTCAAAGCTATAGCTCCGTCCTGGTGCCTTGGCCAGGTCCTCCGCTTTGCTCCCGCCAATCTGCTTGGGTTCAGATCAGAGCGCATGGTACAGCGACAGATGCCAACGATGGACAACGACACGCTGCAAGCACAGAATGGTCCGATACAACTTCTGTGGAAGTGGCGTTGCTTATTGCCACTGATTGGACCGCGAAAATGATCTCTTCACAACTGCCAGTGGCTGGCAACGAGCCACTTCGGCCCTTGCTGTTTCGACGACCATTCACTCTGCCTAAAGAAATGACCAGCATCCACAAAGCACGTCTGTACATCTCGGCACATGGTTTGTACAGAGCTCACATCAACGGCTGCCGTGTTGGCAACGAAGAAATGGCTCCAGGTTGGACCAGCTACAACCACCGACTGCATTATCAGGTGTATGATGTTACTTCCACTTTGCGATCCGTCGAACCTAACGTGTTCGGCGTAGAGGTTGCGGAAGGTTGGTTTGCTGGTCGCCTTGCATGGGAAAACAAACGCTACCACTACGGAGACCGACTGGGATTCGTAGCACAGCTCGAAATCTACGGAGAAGACGGCCAAGTGCTAAAAGTGGTATCAGACCAGGATTGGAAATCTTGTCACAGTGCAACAACTCGGAGCGAGATCTACGACGGCGAAGAGTATGACTTTCGCCTAGAGCAAGCTGGCTGGACCGATGACCCAGCCTTTGACGCGGCCTCATGGTGCGGAACGGTCCAAGTCCCATTTCAATGCGCGACACTTGTGGCTCCGGACTCGCCACCTGTGAGAGAAATCGAAACCGTCGCACCTGTTAAAATATGGAAATCGGAAGGCGGCAACACCTTGATTGACTTTGGACAGAACCTTACTGGAAAACTCCAGGTGCAGCTTCCGTCCTCTACCAACCAGCCTCTGGAGGGCCACACGATTTCCTTTAAGCATGCGGAGGTCCTCGAACTCGGCGAGCTATGCACTCGCCCGCTGAGGTCGGCCAAGCCAGTGGATAGCGTCACACTCTCTGCCACTCAGCCAGCTACATGGTCGCCCAAGTTCACATTTCACGGCTTCCGCTATGCTCAAGTCGATGGTTGGCCGACTCAACTTGGACTGCCTACCAGTAATGACATCAAAGCAGTCGTCATGCATAGCGACATGACTCGAACGGGCTGGTTCTCCTGCTCTGATCCGTTAGTCAACCAGCTTCACGAGAATGCGATATGGAGTATGAAGGGCAACTTCCTCTCCGTACCAACTGACTGCCCTCAACGCGATGAGCGCCTGGGCTGGACTGGTGACATTCAACTTTTCACGCCCTCCGCGAGCTTTCTCTATGGCATCTCCGGATTCATGGGCAACTGGCTTGCTGATCTTTCTGCTGAGCAGCTCGAAGACAGGAGAAAGGGTGTGCCGGGAGTGGTGATTCCAGACGTGCTAAGTATACCACCCAATCCTCCGGATCCTCAGTGCGCATGGCATGATGTGACTGTTCTTACGCCGTGGGATTCTTACATCAGCTCCGGCGATCGAGAACTCTTGCGTGCACAGTATGCAAGCATGAAAGCCTGGGTCGACCAAGGCTTGCCTAGAGGAGCGAACGGCCTGTGGGATCAGAACGTCTGGCAATATGGTGACTGGCTCGATCCCACTGCGCCGCCAGAGGAGCCCGGGAAGGCCGCGACCGATTCCTTATTAGTCGCTGATGCCTATCTGGTACGAGTGCTAGAGACCATCACGAAAGTCAGCGCAATCCTTGGCGAGTCGGAAGATCTGCTTCGTTATACTGCAGACGCCGCCAAGGTGAGGGCGGCATTTCAACACGAGTATGTTACTCCTGCAGGACTCCTTGCCAGCGACACGCAAACGGCCCATGCGCTGGCTCTTGTCTTTGGACTGTTCAACACTCCAAATCAGATGGCTTCATCTGCAGATCGACTGGCGCACTTGGTACATTCCGCCCGGTACCGCATCGCCACAGGATTCGTCGGTACCCCTCTCATTACACATGCCCTTTCTGACAGCGGAAATCACCAACTCGCCTATCGCATGCTATTGGAGAAGAGCTGCCCTTCATGGCTCTACCCGATCACAATGGGTGCGACCACGATTTGGGAAAGATGGGACAGCATGCTTCCCGATGGGTCGATCAATCCCGGTACTATGACCAGTTTCAACCATTATGCGCTCGGTTCAGTGGTGAATTGGCTTCACAAGAATGTAGCTGGACTAAGCCCACTGGAGCCAGGCTGGCAAAAAATCCGAGTACGACCTGTTCCTGGCGGTACGATTACCAATGCTGAAGCTACATACGACAGTCCATACGGGCGAATTGAGTGTTCGTGGAAGGTTTCGGAGAAGGATGGGACATTCCATCTTACTCTCAGCATTCCACCGAATTCGCAAGCTGTTGTCATCCTGCCATCCGAGTGGAAGAAAGCTGGTCCTGGCGAGGAGAAGGGCATCGAAGTCGGGTCTGGTAAACACTGTTTTTCTTGCTGTTTCAAGCAAGACGAATGGCCGCCTCGGGCGAAGTTGAGGCGATCAACGTTTCGATTAGACACTGGAAGCGCGTGAGTACATGGATATAACCCTGTCTGGGGTCGTGGTTTGGTGCGGAGTAGGTTCATGTTTGTCGTAGATCCTGGTTCGTCACCATCTTCAGCAGATCAGCTTTCACGTAGAACTGACTATACATGCCTGTCAATGAGCTTGTCATTTGTGAATTTGGCCGTCTCTACAGGGCACGTGTGGCAGGCGAGGTCAGTGTGTCAAGTGATGTGCCGGCGGCTAGGTACACGGATATAATAAGTTCTTCGTATAGGAACAACCAACAGGGCCCATGCATCATTCCCACGAGATTGGTACATCACGAGTGTTCTTGACTCAGCCTTATAGACGGACGACTCATCATCTTTGCTGTTGGCCGCAGCTGTCCTTCTTGTCCGCGGGCGTGGCTGACTGCACTGCCAGATCATATTCACTTTCATTAGCATGGCGTCTACAAAGGACAAGCACGAAGCCATTTGCCTCGAGACCACGGCAGAAGACCCCGACGCCGCCATCTCGTCCGATATCACCAAGACCGACAGCTACGGCCTCCTGAAGTCGAGATATGACGAGCTGTCCATTCCACGTACCCTGTGGGTATTCAGGCGCGTCGTGCTGGTCTCGCTCGCGGTGTACACGGGATATGTTTGCGAAGGATTCGAAGTGAGTGCTTCTCCCTCTCCTGACGTCGTCCATGACTTGTCGCGAGATCGACTCTAATCGTCGGTGGTTTCTATGTAGCTCAATGCGGGTGGTATGTGTCTCTCCCCTCTCTCTCGAGCCACGTCGATTCACCACCGTACCTGACTCGTCCCAGGCAGTGTGATTGCCAATGCCGGCTTCATTAAACAATTTGGGAACCATGAAAAGGAAGGCGTCAGAGCTCTTGATCCCACCTGGGTGTCTACTTGGAGCGCGCTGTTGGTAAGTAGTGTGATCTGCGGCTTCGATGAACCTCCAACATCAGAGACACTGATGACATAAAAAAAAAGAATGTGGGACAGCTTGTCACGTTCACCTACATCTGGTGGTATGCATTTCTCTCCCATTGAACCAGATCGAGGGCTAGCATCTTACACACATTCCAGGTTCGCAGACCGTTTCGGCCGCAAAGCATCCTTTTACGTCGCATGGGTGTGGCTGGTGGTTGTAAGTCTCCTCCTCCTCCTCCTCCTCCTCCTCCTCCTCAACACCAGATGCATACCACCACCATCACCATAAAACCACAAGCTAAAGCACATGATCCATCGCAGGGCTGCGTATTCCTCAACACCGCCAAAACGCCCTCGACATGGGCACTCGCCAAACTCTGCAACGGAGCCGGAATCGGCGTCCTCCAAATCGTCTGCCAAGTTTACGTGATGGAAATCTGTCCCAACAAAATCCGCGGCGGCATGGTCACTTTCCAACAAGTCTGGAGCAACATCGGAGCCATCATCGTTGCGGTGATGATGCAACAACTCAACAAGAAACACCCGGATAACTATCTCCTCGCCATGCGGATCCTGTGGGCGCCGATTGGATTGATGATTGTGTTTTGGACATTTATTCCAGAATCGCCGTGGTATCATGCTCGACGCGGCGAGAAGGAGAAGGCGATGAAGTGTTTGCGTCAGCTGTTTGGCGGAGTGGAAGGGTATGATTTTGAGGAAGAGTATGGGATTATTGCCAGGACGATTCAACATGAGCAGGAGATCAATCAGGAAAAACCGAGTTTTGCAGATGTGTTTAGGGGGTTGAATTTGGTGAGTTGTTGGATGGACTTGCTTCATCTTGTTTTGCGTTTAATGGACGAGAGACTGACGAGTTTCCTTTTTCCCTCTTCGCCAGAAACGAACCCTTATTTGTGTTGTTCTCAGCATTTCGACGCAGTTGTGTGGACTGGCCATTATCAATACCTATTCGACTTGTACGTATACATATCTACCTCATATATTATACATGATCGATTCCTGGAACGAACGAAGACACGCCTAATCATCGTGGACAGACTTCTTCTCCCTCGTCGGTCTGGAAGACCCGTTCCTAGGAACTCTCATCCTCAGGTCAGTTGCAAATCTTTCAGTGGCGCCTTTGAGCTTTCCCACTCTGACATTTTTCCCACCGCAGCTGTGTCAACCTCCTGGCAGTCGCCATGTGGTCTCTATCCACTGACAAGTTCGGTCGCCGCACCATCGTCAACTCGTGTCAAACCTTGGTCGTCGTTATTCTATTCGCAGTAGGTGCACTATATTGGACGGGTGCAACAACGGGTAACAAGAAAGCTGGCGCTGCTCTGGTGAGTTGAGAGACATCATCTGCCTTCCCTTCCCTTCTCATGACGATGATGAAGCTCACGCGAGAAAAACAAAATCTATAGTTGGTCATCTGCTGCTTCTGGACATTTGCCTTCCAGATCATCGCATTGGTAAGCAAGCATTACTTTGTTAAATCCTACATTCAATGCGTTGATTCCGTTCCAATCACTAACGCGGCGACCCTACACTACCTACTGATCTCCAGTCCTACTACCTCTTCTCCGCCGAACTGCCAGCCGCTCTTTTACGCATCAAGACTGGACCAATTACTTTCTTTTCCAACTCCATCTTGGGAATCGCGACCTGGTAAGTTGATGAACGACATATAAATGTCTTGTGATGATGGCTAGAAGACCATGTGAAAGTTGACCATCCATTCACCTTATAGCTATGCCACTCCACCCATGTTGCTTCACCTCTCGCTCAAAGCAGGTTTCGTGTACGGTGCATTTTCTGTACCGCTTTGCATTATTATGTGGTAAGTTGTTTTGCAATTTTCACCCATCATCATCATGATCACAAGATACCATCATATCAAACCTATACATCACACTCATACCCCTCCAAAATTTTACTTTACTACTTGGGTACTTGTACGCTAACCCATCTTCTTTTTCTTTTTTTCCCCTACAGGTTATACGTCCCGGAAACCAAAGGGTAAGACTTCCCACTCAGTTCCCTCTCTGTCTCTCTTTCGTGTCATACTGACTTGCTTACTCTTTTTTATTCATTACAGACGATCCGCGGCCGAAATCGACGAATTATACGAACGTAGAGTCCCCGCATGGCGATGGTCTCGGACGAGAACGGATGCAGAAGTGCAAATGGAAGCGGTGGTGCAGGTCAAGGGTCATGTGAAGCAGGTTTGAGGTGGAAGAGATGGAAAGATAGGTGAAGTGTGAAAAAATGAAGGGGAAAGAAAAGAATGGAAAAGGAAAGAAAAGGAAAGAAAAGAGAAAAGAATGTTGGGGAAGTGAAGGGAGTGGAGTGGTGGTGGTGGTGTTGCTGCTGTAGGGTGCACATATACCTTATGTACAAGCGTCTCTTTCCGTTATTCAATTTTTTTTTCTCTTCGTTTTTCTTTTCGTGCTCTCAATCGTTCAAGTGCAAGGGGACATGGAGGGTTCTATCGAACCTTTTCCAAAAGAATCCGCTTTTCTGACTTTTCGCAGCAACAGCAGCAACAGCAGCATTGTCACTCCAACCAAAACTGTGATGATGACGAGGCAGCACAAGTTGTTTTCCGAATGTCTCCAGTTGCAATTCGAGCCTCTGTATGTGAGTGGTTATATATGATTTTGCATTTTCATATTTTCATGTCGCATCAATGGTCTAGTGGTTAGGATTGCTGCCTTCCAAGCAGCAGGGGGGGGTTCGATTGTGAGTACATTCCACCTCCAACACTCCAATACGAGTCCATCGTCTAACATCTCTCTCAGCCCTCTTGATGCAAATCATCCATTTCAATCTTTTGATATTTTTTTTGTTCTTTAGCGAAGCTGGCTGCTGATCTGATAGAGAGTCAAAATAATAACCTTTTTTGAAATGAACAATCTGTTTGGACAGAAGGATATAGGTGCCCTAGCATCATGTAATATAAGTTATATAGATAATAGGGGCCACTGATTCCTTGGCATTTGTATATAGAGTTAGGGATACCTACCCCCCTCTTTTCTTTCGTAGAGAGGTTAGACCTCTAATATTAATTAAACCTACTTTTCGGTTAGTACGGCTTTATCTCTATCTTAATTAGGCTAGTATAGTATATAGTTCCAACAGTTATAAGCCCGGCTAGCTCTGCTTGATCAATTAAAGGAATTAATTAAGTACTAGATAATTAGGATTACCTAATATCTCCTAGAATTAGCTAAGATTAGTCAAATTCCGCTATATTAAGACAATAACTAAGGACCGTACACTATTACTTTATACCGGCCTAAACCCGTTTATCTAGACGAAGAGAAGAAAGCCCGAGCCTATTAGATTAGCTTATAATCGACCGATCCCCGAGTCCTAAGTTTTAAGAAGTTAAAGAAATACCTAGTAGCTCGTATCCTAGGCATTAAGCTGTTCTAGAGTAGTTTAACGAATTCAACGAAGACACTATAGCTAATTCTTCTAAACCCTTAACAACGACGACGTCGATTGCTAAGTTACGTACCTAGTAGGACTAGAATATATAGATTACCTATATTAAGAACGAGGCAGAGGCCTTCTAGATATAGGATAATATTAACCTAGGAGTTAATAAACCAAACCTAGAAGCCCCGATTCAGTTAAGAAGACAACTAGTCTTTAACTTTAACTCCCTTCCTAATAACGTTATACTAACTGCTCTTAGCCTTACTTAATTTAAGTATAGATATAATAAGGATATATAGGAACTTAAGCAAAAGGAGTATTAGAGGATCTTATTAATAATTAACTAGTCTCTGTCTTTAGACCTCTAGTATAGGGTAATCAACTATAAGACTCTAAGAGAGAAGCTTAAGAAGCTCTTAGAATATACTAAACCTAATACCCTTACTACTACTTAGTTGTTAAAGAAAGAGTTAGAAACCCTAACTCTTCTACTATATAGAAAGTCTATTCCTAACTATATATACCTATAGTTTACTTAGTATAGTAAGAGGGATACGGTTAGTATATAAGCAGACAATAAGTCAACCTAGGTATAGTTATCCTCTATAGCTCTAATATATAGAGACTATATAGCTACGAGGATAGGCAGGCTGCTTAATAAGTAGAATAATAGGAAGGTAACAACTCTCTATTTAGAATTGAGAGCCTAGTAGTCCTACTTTTAGCATAATAGTAATACCAAATTTAAGAGCAAGTATAGAACTACTATTGCTAGTATCTTATCTGCTACTATAGCCGAATCTTCGTCCTTAACTCGATTATCCTCCTCGTTAAGAAAGCCCTATATCTATAGTAGGAACTATATATAGTATTACCGTAAAGCCCTCTCTCCTACTACCGTCCTCGAGTAGACGATCGGATAGGCCCGGCTTACGGTAGGTCGCGGCGTAGCTCCGCGGTAAAAGGGGTAAGATAGGTAGAGGTCCGGAAGGACGCGGAGATACCCGTAGGTAGCGGGAATAGTAATATTAGAAGACAAAGCGTACTATAGGGTAACGACATCAATTATAGTAGAGTAGGTATCCGTATATCTACGTCCTGATTATGTCCGTCCTCTCCTCTATCCTAAAAAGAAGAAAACTACCCTATATAGCTATCCGCCGGGAGTAGTACGGCCCTCCCGGGCCGTCCGGCTCTCGGCTCTGCCCCGACGCCCTACGTAAAAGAAACACGCCTAGCCGCTTAATATACCCTCCCCTACCTATATATCTGTCCTATAGATATAGGTATAACAAAACCCCCCCCTATCTAACAATTACGTATAGAAAAGCAGACCCAAACGACCCGTTGAAAACAAGGTACCTAACCGTAAAAACCTAAACCCTCCCTATATTCGGAAGCTCCCGGTTAGGCTCCGGGGGCCTAACCAACGTACTACCTATTCTATCTAGGACACATCGCCCTTAAGTATAGTACCGGAGCCTTCCTCTATATACTTAGAGTCGAGAGTAGAAAAATTAGGCTATAGTCGAAACTCAAAGTTACCTTTATAGCGGAAGTAACTAGCGTTCCCGAAGAGTAGTATTTCAGAGCTACGAATACGGTCGAAAACCTTCTTATACCTCTTAATAGCGTTCGCCTACTATTTGAGCTTGTATACCTTCTACTAAGCAAGAGACTCTATATAAGTAATATAGTTCAACTCGTTAATAACTTCTATATCGGCCTAAGATTTGCGACTAACTAGAGCGTCTAAGATTAGGCTAAGGCTATCTAACTAGGCTATAGTAGGAAATCGGTACGGAATTGGACTATATATATTAAGGTAGCCCGACGGGCTAGATAGTAGAGCAGTTATTGTTCGGTATACTTCCGCGATCTGCTAAAGGGTCCCTATTTTCGGGTTCTCTATCTCTCCGGTTTCTACGTTAGTAATAGCTATAAACTAAGGGAGGATCGTACGTCGTACGCCCTACGAAGGTAGCGCGCTATAAGGAATACGGAGGTCGGTAATACAGACGCTATATCGCTAGACCGGAGTTAGCTACTAATCTAGACCTATCTTCTTTCTTAGCTTAGGCCCGAGCTCCTTGTCTATAATATTATAGATCCGGCTATTCTGCAAACGACCGGCGGCGCGGTTTACCTCTGCCTACTTACGAAACGTCTCGTTACGGTATATCCCCTAAATAAGTATAGTATAGTCCTTATAAGTCTCGTTATCGAACGATACCGAGCCTTAGATCTAACTAGTACCTTTGCCTGCCGCAAGATCTATAACGTTGTAGTCTATATGCTTGAAGCTATTACGACTTATATTCTCGTTACCCTTATCGTCGCCGTGCTAGTACTTCGCGTAATAAGGATAAGACACTAAACGGTAATTACCGTCCGCGCGCAAAGAAGCGTACAAAGCCTAGTATAAGATATCCTAGCGGACGAGCTATTGAACTACGCTATATATCTACGACCTGTTCTACCCTAGGTTAGAGCGACTATTCATACGACGGAGGTACTACGAGTATATATCAAACTTATATTCGATATCCCCGAAGATCGTCTTAGTATACCTAAAAACCCTCTTCTTCGTAACTAAGCCGATAAGATCGAACGTAGCCTAATCGCCGGCGTTGATCGTAAATAATCGAAGCTTAGTAACTAAGGTTTCTACGTTAGGCGTAGCGGAGGGAGTAACTAGTATTCCTATATATGTTCGAGATAGGAATATATATAGACTAAGTACGTTACCTACGTACTTTAGACGGTAGGCTAGGGAGAAGAATTCCGGGTATTAATACTAGTATTCTAGAAACTAGCTATTAACGTAAGCTCTATAGACTTCGGCAATACGAGTAGTTAGTAGGGCTATAGCGATGTTCGACTTAAGTCCGAACCTACGGCTTGCAAACACCCTAGTATAGTACCGGTATAACGGAACCGGGTCCTCCTCTGCTATATATAGCTAGACGCCTCGGTCGACGACATCCTCTAGCTATTAATAGAGGGGTATAGCTATATATAGGCTAATAAGATATAGATTGGTCGTGTCCGGGCAAAGAGTATAACGGTATATAGACAACGGCGTATATATACAAGACGTAACTTATCCCCCTTCGGCGAGTACGTCCTCGGTTAGCTCTTCGTTAAAGGTAAACTCCCCGGTCTAGTTATCTACCTCCTCGCTAGTCGTATCCTCGGTCGGCTCTGTCTCTATAGTTAGGATCGCGGCCTCCGGGACCGGCTCTATATAGCCCGTCCCGGTAAGGCCCCGGGGGCCTAACGGATTACGCGTATTAATAGGGCTCTAACTAGAAGTACTATCCGGCACCTATAGTATCTCCGGCGTCAATAGTCGTAACGTACGTTAGCGTTTGCTCGGAGGTTCTTTATAGTCCGGTAATAGGTCCGGCTCCCTATAGCGTCTCTAGTATAGACGGAGTTAGGCTTACTCGGATAATAGCGGTAGAGGTAGTAGTATAGATAGCCCCGAAGGTATTAGCGTAGGTTTAATAAAGCCCTTACTTACGATCTTGTAAAAGTCGCCCTTATAGACGAACCTAAATCATATCCGTAGGATATATTGTTCTGCCTCCTCTCTAGGTTCCGCTAATTGCTTGTCGGTAGGCAGTATACGTATACGAACACAATCGCCTCCTATAACCTCCGGTATCTTCGATCGACTAGTAATAGGAGTAAGCAATCGCTACGCTACTACTTCCGCGAGAGCGCGTAGTATTTGCCTATAGTTAGAACTAAGAGCCGCTAGGCTACCTAGATTGTAGGCCTGCGAATAAGTACGTAGAACCTCCTATATCGTCGGACTAGTAAGGAAGCTCTAGGCGGCAGCGACATCCCTACTGAACTATTGGTTAATAATATTCTAGCAAGCCGTCCTTCGTCGATTTCGGGCCTCCTTTCCTCGATCTACTACCTTCGTAAAACCGGGGAATACGTCTAAGATTGGTTTACCTTCTAGAATCTTCTAGTCCGGAGCTATAGCTACGAACTTCTTATAAATCGATATATATATAGTATCGTAACTAGTTAAGGTCGCGTCGTAGAGTTAGTATACCGTATATACTACTTCCGTTCTTACTAGCGTATCGAGAGTTAGCAATAGGGCTACGACCGCGTCTAGGTCGGTTACCCTACGAAGGATACTCCTTACCTCCGCCGAGTATAATAACGTATCTATCCTTGCTACTATAATTAAGAACGACATCGAGCTTTATCTTCTCTCCCGAACGGTTACCTAGTATTCTAACCTATCGCCGTCGTCCGTCTCGGGTTAGGTAGGTATATTACGGTTAGCTATAGTAGGACCGATAGTTGCACGTAGGGGCGTAGTACTGCTACTAATATAGACGTAGGTCGTAGTGTAGGCGCGGAATCGATAGTTGTACGCGAGCGCGACTCCGTTGTTAACGTAGGCATAGGTCGTAGTATAGGCGCGGCTCCTTTCGAGGTAGTAGAGATAGTAGTTGTATAGAATGCAGGCTAGGGAGTATAGCGGGTAAGGAGGTAGGTTAAAGAAGAAGAGTAAGTTCAAAGGGAAGAAAAGGGCACTCTTATCCCCTAAATAACGCGAAAGTAACTCGCGCTTACGGAATAACGCGAAAAGTAACTCGCGCTCGCAGGAGTGCCGGCGCGCTTACGGCAGTACTATAGCAAACAAATAACGCGAAAAGTAACGCGCCTAGGGAAGTACTACCTATATAGGCAAGATAAGTAAGGATAGTACGAGAATACCGACGTAAAGTAGTAGTTAGGTATCGTAGGGACCCTTAGATATAAGGACTATAGTAAGGAATGTAGTATACGGTATATACCGTAAGGGGGCGAGGACAACGCTAGGAGGTAAAGCGAAAAATAATAGATTAAAAACCTTCGGACGGATTAGAAACCTTCTAGCCTAACTATTACTAGGCACCGGGGCGCCCGGCCGGCAATATAGTTACAATCCTAGAGTAGCTAAACTCGGACGGTACTAACCTACTACTATCAAAAGCGTAGGGCATATCTAAAACGACGCCTACGGGGGGCCTAGTTATAGATAAAGGATTAGACGGCGGCGGCGGCAGGGGGCCTAGCTATAGATAAAAGACTAGACAGCGGCGGTAGCGCAACAAATAGAAAAAGAATCGAAAGAATAGCGAGTACGCTACTCCCTCCCCTAACTATACGACGACGAAGAAGGAGAGTAGGTATCTATTAAGTAGTACAAGCCCGTACTACGGAGAGAGATACTAGGAAGCGGAGATACCCGGTTAGCGTATAGAAAGTTAAAAAAGCAGGGTAGGGAACTAGTATCTAGTACTAACCCTACTCGTTAGAACTAGTAATACTACTGCCTTTATCTAATAGGCCGTTAAGTCGACAGAGTTTAAGAGAGTCCTTATTATAGGTATTCCGATAGACAATACTATCTAACCCCTCTAACTTATAGTACGCGGTACCCGGACGATAGGTATATATACGAAAGGGACCCTTCTAACGGAAAACTAGCTTTACCGAACGTAACGCTTCTAACTCTTTCCGATATACTATAACCAAATTACTAACCTCAAATTTACGGCGATCGATATAGTAGCGATCGTCAAAATATACCTTCGCTTAGTCCCGTATTCTCTCTTATCGTAGGCGGGCGTCCTCTATACGTAGGGCTATAGCTTCGAGGGCGGCGGCGCGTATAGCGAGAAGACTCTTATAGTCGCGAATAGTACCCTAGTCCTAGATAGACGTAGTAGGGAACTAAAGCTCGATAGGTAGGATAGTATCGTAGCCAATTATTAACGCTAACGGCGTCTTACCGGTAGACGATACCTCCGTAGTACGTTCCGCCTATAGTACTACGGGTACGTACGGGATCTAGGATATCTTGCCTCCGTCGGTTATCTTGCTAAGCGCCGCAATAACAGGTTTATACCTAACTTTAATAATAGCTATAGATTCCGGGTAGTATAGTAAGATACGTAGACAAGCGACGCTATACTTACGAAGCAACGCCTCTACCTCCCCTAAGTTGTATTTAGCGTTATCGAGGAGGATCTCGTATAGCGTACTCTATCGGCAAAAGATCTCCTTCTAGATAAATTTCGTAACCTACTTTGACGTAATCTGTTTAGCGGTAAGGCCGACGAATATCCGCGCCTTAGGCTACTAAGACGTTGCCTCCCGCGCTATTATAATCGATCCGCGGGTATTAATATAAACGCCGTTAATATACTACTGTTTACCGATAGCCTTAGAAGCAACTTCGCCTAAAGGAGTACGGGTACGAACGCCGTTATACTAATTATACTCGGCGTACTTCCTCTATATATATGCCTAGCAATCGCTATATATGCCGTCCTACTAGTAGCGCCGTACTAATTTTGTATACGTACCCTCGGTACTATAGTGCCTATACTTATCGTAGACCGCCCGGAGGATCTAGTCTCGCGTAGACGGCTTATCGATAACGCGCTACAACGGGAAGTTGCGACGGCCCTAGCGGAAGAGAACCTTATCTTTAATCTTAAATCTCTACGAGTACTTTAAAAATCGACGGTACTCGGATCGAGATATATAAGATAAGAGACGTAGTCTAAGGAGAACGTAGGCGATAGCCTTCGAAAAGTACGAATAACTCTTAGGTAGACTGTCTAACTTATCCGGGAAGATAGAATTAATATAGGCAAGGTCGACGCCTTCCGTATCTAGTAAGGTTTCGGGGGTCTAGCTAATAATCCGGATCGCGGCTACCCGAACCGTACCGCCGGCGGTACCGGCCGCTCCCGGTAAGGCCCTAGAGGCCTAACCAAATCTACGTAGCGCAAGCGTCGCTGTATTAACGCAGAAACTCTCGAAAAACTTATTATCGACTATACGCTCGATATCTTCTAACTCCGGCGGATCCGGGACGTCCTTACTTAATAGTAGTCGACGGGATAAGGCATCTAGGGCCGTATACTTGTAACTAGGGATATGCCGAACTTCGAAGGTAAACAGCCGGATCTACGCTACCTACCTACTTATAGCGGTATTCGGGAGATTAGACGTAGCGCAGTTTAGTTAATATATAAGAGTCTAAGTATTAACTTCTAGTACAAAGTATTGACCGAAGAGCTAGGGCCGAAACTTTTAGTATATTTTAAGTACCCCGAGGCACTCGAGTTTGCCGGCGTCGTACCGTTGCTAGCTAGCGGACTATATACTACTCTCGAAACGACTCGGTCGTCGCTTTCTATAGTCGTCCTCCTATATTAGTATATACCTATATCCGGACCTACTAGAGTTAACTACGACAATAATAGTGCCTGCTCTATCCGAGTAGTCGATAGGGACTAGAGGCGAGGCCTTAACTAAGGCTACCGCAAGTACGTCCTTAGTACGCTAATACTCCGTAGTCTACTCGAATTTAACGTCCTTCCGAAGTAGGCAGTAGAGTAGCTTAGCCTTAAGCGCGAACTTAGGTATCTAGATATAGAAGTAGACGATAATGCCGACAAATACCCGGACGTCTTTCTAGTACCTCGGGTCTAGCTAGTCGACGATCTTCGCTACGCGGGCTATATTAGGATAGCGGCTATCGGCATCTGTAATATACCCTACGATACGGATACGTTCTTAGAGGATCTACAGCTTCTTAATAGCGACTATTATACCGGTACGCTTAATATCTATAAGGACTTAGTCGAGGTCAACGATATACTTAACAATAAACCGCCGTAGACTAGGCTTAAGTTCCTCCCTACTATAATTAGTCTTCGGCCCCTTAATACTAATATCGTCTAGGAAGGGAAGCGACCGGTATAAGATATAATCTATAAGAATACGAGTTATAACCCGGACAAATTGACTAACCGAATTCGTAGCGCCCTAGAGTAGAGTAGTCTGCCGGAATAGGCTAAGATAAGTCTAGAAAGCTGTAAGATCTCGACTCTCTTTAGCGAGAGGGACCTAATCGTATCCGGAGAAAATGTTAAGGAGGGAAGCAACCTTGTACCCCGCAAAGTACTCGGCGAACTTATCTATATTAGGCAGTAGGCTAGCGTCGCGAATAGTAACCCGGTTAATCTCCGTCGTAGAGTTAATAAGGCGATAGTATTCCTTAGTAGGCAACTGACCGGGGGCTAAGGTTTTCTTCGCAACTAGGAAATATAGATTCCGATAGTAGCCCTTACTATACTCTAACGTCCTAGCTTTATGCCGGTCCCGGATAATACCCTCTATCGCTATAAGTAGGGAGGGATTAAGACGAAAACCCGGATAACTCTATAGTATATATAGGACTATACGAATAACTTGTAGTAGTACGATACTAGGAATAACCCGTCCGAGATACGTAAAATTCGCCGCTAAAGTAGCCTTACGATTAAAGAGTATCTCTTCGAGTAGATAACGTTCCTAGGTTGTTAAGACTATATCCGTCTCGACCGTACGCAATACCTCCGGAGTAAGTCGACTGCTCCGGAGGATATCCGAGAACTTCTTAATCAAGTAGCGCTAGTTATATAGTCCCGTCCCTAGCGGTATTACCGCCTCCTATCGAAGAAATAGTTCCTTCTATTTAGTAACGGTACCGATATTAGAGGACGTACTCTTCGAGATATCTATAGCGACGTCGACAGGCCGGATCTTCTATACTTTCCGTTTGTATATAGTATATACTAGAATATAGTACGTAGTACGGGCGTAGCGGGAGTAGGCCTAGTTAATATAGGAGTAATATAGTATCGACCGGAACGCCTGATTATCCTCGTCCGGATCCCTATATTAGGATCTAGACTAGACAGCGATACAGATATCTTAGGACAGACCCGGAATGGCCCGGAAATACCTAAGACGGGCCAGAACGGGTTACCGCGACTTAAGAAGGTTTATACTAAACCTTTACCGCTAGGGCTAACTTAAGATAGTTTAGGAAGAGTTAGAATAAGAGATCTTAAATCGAGATATTCCAAATTAGACCCGAGAGGCCCGAGACTCCGGGTACTCTAAGAATATACTTATAAACAGAAGGAGAAGACGTATTCCTATCCTTCTCCTAAGCGATTCGAGTAGTACTTTTCTAATAGATACTTTAGCCTATACATCTTATCCTTTTATATACGAATCGCTTCTTTATTGTATAACGAAGTATCTCTAAATATAGGTCCAAAGAACACTATACGCTTAGGATCGAGTACCTAGGATTTGGTAGTAACTAGTACCCTAACGGAAGTAGACGTCGTACTTTAGCTAGAAGCCGAAGAAGCAGAGTCCGCAAAGGCCTAACAACTCCTTCGAGTAAACTAAGCTAGGGAGGAACGCGCTAAGTTGCTCTAGCAACTTAAACAATCCGACGCGATAATCCAAACTCTAACCGGAGTACTCCTAACCGATAGACTCGACCCTATCCTAGGCTATCCTAGCCTATCGTTGGCCTAATTTATTCCTAAGCTACGGAACCCTTATATATTCGAAGGAAAGAACAGACGCGACTAGATCGAATAGCGAGACGACTACGAACGAATCTTCCGAAGGGCCCTAGCTTACTATATAGACGCCTAGACTAAGATTAAACTCGGAGAAGAATAGATAGCGACCGAACAGAGGTCCTAATAGAACTAGTTTATAGACTTACTCCGATCCTAACCGGCCTATAACGCCCCTTCCTAGTCCGACTTTAAGGAATATATACTTAATACAATAGGTACGCCCTAGGAAAGACGATAAATCGCCTACGACGCGATCAAATCTATTAAATAGAACCTTCGAACCCTAATAGAGCTCTTAACCGACCTAAAAGAACACTAGGACAAGCTAGGAACTGAAGATAAATAAACTAAGATTATAGAATTTAAGAGTACTCTAGACGGAAGGATTAAGTATTAGATTAATATTAACCTTACTACTTTCGCGACCGTTACAGCTCTTAAGGAAGCAGCAAATATCTACTAGAGGGCTATCTAGGCCGAAAGAGACTATCGCTAAAAGGACAAACGTAACAACAAACGCGGACGGTCCGATACTACTAACGAAACCGCTAGCTACGTAAAGAGATCCCAAAGCTACTCCAAAACGAGCTAACCTCCGTTAATAGGGCGACTAAGCCGACCGGGGGATACTAGACCCCTACCTAGGTACTACGGATATAGCGAGACGGGCTATAAACGCCCGGAATGCCCTAATAAGGCAATTTAGGAGAACAAGGGGTCCCTAAAAGCTAGCCCCGCCCTCTAGTACTCCGGGTAGCGGGACAAGTAATATATATAGAGGAGCAACGAAGGCTAGTAGAGCTATACGGCCGGTAGGCGACAAAGCTAGAGCTATACGATTTGATTAGGGTTAAAGTAACCTTAGAGGGCCCGATAGAGCAGCGGAACATCTACGCTCTAGTAGACTATAGTACCTAGATAAACTTTCTAGACGGAGTAGTAGCTAAAGAAATAGGCTACACTCTAGAACGAGGGGCTTCGGTAAGGTATAAGACCTTAAATAGCTAAGCCCTCGTAGTCTCGGGATATATAAAGGTCCCCTTTAAAGTTTCGGCTAGTAACGGAGCGAAACGGGGCGGAACTGCCTATATCGCCGTTAGAAGGATCTATAGATTCGAGATAATCCTTAGTATACTATAGCTAGAACAATAGAACCCCTCGGTAAACTTCTTAACTAAGGCACTGTCCTAGAAGAAGAAGAATAGACGCAAATAGTCCAAAGTAGCGATAATCGGCCTAGAACGAATACGCGTAGAGCTCGCAGACCCTAGTACGGTCCTTTATACAATATCCCTATTACTTATTAACGGAACGAAAAAAGACCTAGAGGGGCTCCCCGAGGTATACCGATAGTACGCCTCTATATTCTCTAGTAAAGATGCCTCTATTCTAGCCGATTATAGGCTATTTAAGCTCGGGATCGAGCTAGAAGAAGGTAAGATACCCCTATAGAGGCCTCTATACAACCTCTCTAAGACAGAATTAGAGGTTCTTAGGAACTACCTTAAAGAATACTTAGACAGGGGCTAGATCAGGCCTTCTCGATCCCCTACTAGCGCGGGTATCCTCTTTATAAAGAAGAAGGACGGAGGACTTAGGCTCTACGTCGATTACCGTAGACTGAACGCTGTAACGGTTAAGAACAGATACCCTTTACTAAGCTTAATATAAGAGACGCGTACTACCGACTTAGAATTAAGGAGGGCGATAAGTAGAAGACTATATTCCGGACTAGATATAGCTACTTCGAGTATACCGTTATACCTTTCGGGCTTACTAATGCCCTAGGTACGTTCTAAGGGTATATAAACGATATACTAAAGGACCTAATCGACATTATCTATATAGTCTACTTCGATAACATCCTTATTTACTCCTAAAATAAGGAGGACTATATTAGAGATATAGTAACGGTCCTCGAGCGGCTATAGAAAGCTAAACTCTACGCTAAAATAACTAAGTGTAACTTCTATAGGGACTAAGTTAGGTTCTTAGGGTACCTAGTTAGCCTAAGAGGGGTCGAGATAGAGCTAGAACGGGTCGCTACGGTCCGGGATTAGCTAGAACCAGAGTCTGTAAGGGATATTCGGATCTTTATTAGGTTCGCTAATTATTATCGACGGTTTATATAGCACTTCCCCCGAATCGCAGCTCCCCTAAATCGATTGACGGAGAGAAAAGGCGATATAGCAAAGGGAGGGCAGAAACAACGGAATAAAGAGTCTATAAAGATTAATCTGCCCTCGGAGGCTAAGCAATTATTCCTTAAACTAAAACAGGTATTCTGCTTAGTACTAATTCTAAAGTATTTCGACCTATTACAGGCTATCCGGGACCCCGGGTAGAAACGGACGTATCTGGGTACGTAATTTCAGGCGTTATAATACAGCAATACGAGTTCTAGGGCAAGATACAATAGTTCCCGGTAGCCTTCTTCTCTCGCAAGATAGTCGTAGTAGAAAAGAACTACGATACCTATAACGGGGAACTCCTTACTATCGTAGAATGCTTTAAGGTATAGAGACACTATCTAGAGGGGGCGTAGTACTAGGTTAAGTTAATAACCGACTACTACAACCTATAATAGTTTATAACGACTAAGACCCTCTCCCGGAGGTAGGTAAGATAGGCGGAATAGCTCGCTACTATAGACTTTAGGGTAGTCTATAGGGCCGGGAGCCTTAACGGGGTAGCGGATAGTATAAGCAGACGTCTAGACTATATAGACCCCGACTACTCTAGGCGATAGTTGAACTAGGAAGACTCCTCCGTCGTATTAAAGATACTATAGCGGCAAATCGACCCGGAAGGGCCTACTACCGGCTAAGAGGGTCCGGTCCGGGCTATAATAGCGGTTAGGGTAGTAGCTAGCAACGCCTCGGGCTATAGATACGACCTATAGGCAGAGATAAATCAGAGCCTAGTCGAAAAGATCTAAGAAGACACTCCTATAGATAAGACGGTAGGGAAGGTCGCGAAAGCTAAAGGTCTAGAAACTCTACCTATATAGACCTAGAGATAGGCGTACAAGGACGGCCTATAGAGTTAGGACGGCCGTATCTTTGTCCTAGAAGGACTATTAAGGCTCGAGATACTTAGGGAGTGCTACGATAACCTAATAGCGGGTTACTTCGGCTTCTAATAGACGATCGAACTCGTACTAAGGAGATTCTAGTAGCCTAAAGTCCGGAGCTACGCGAAAGACTACACTTTAAGCTGTACGACGTATACTAGGGTAAAACCGAGGAGGTACAAACTATACGGCCTATTAGCCGCCGAAGACGCCTCGAGTGCCCTATAGGAGGACTTAACTATAGACTTTGTTACAGACCTTCCCCTATCTACCTTTATAGGCTATACCTACGACTATATCTATATAGTAATAGACAGATACTCTAAGATAGCCTA